AAAGATCCGGAACATGAACTTGACAATGAGAGACTAGACTAGTGGAAAACACATGCACAATGAGCAGAGGTCGACAAGGTAAGGAACCGGAACACGAACTTGACAATGAGAGACTAGCCTAGTGGAAACCACATGCACATGAAGGAAAGATCATCCGGAACATTACACCAAGTAGGAACATGACAAGGAGAGGCTAGACTAATGAAAAACACATGTACATAAAGGGAAGATAAGCCGGAACACTACACGAAGTAGGAAAATTACAATGAGTGGCTAGACTGATGAAAAAAACACATGCATATGAAGGGAAGATCATCCGGAACACTATACCAAGTAGGAACATGACAAAGAGAGGCTAGACTAATGGAAAACACATGTAGATGAAGGGAAGATCATCCGGAACATCACACCAAGTAGGAACATGACAAGGAGATGCTAGACCTAGATGGAAAGCACATGCATATAGAGGGACGATCATTCAGAACATTACACCAAGTAGGAACATGACAATGAGCGGCTAGACTAATGAAAAAGCACATGCACATGAAGGGAAGATCATCCGGAATACTACACCAAGTAGGAACATGACAAAGAGATGCTAGACTAATGAAGGCACATGCATATGAAGGGAAGATCATCCGGAACATCACACGAAGTAGGAACACGACAAGGAGATGTTAGATCTAGACGGAAAGCACATGCATATAGAGCGAAAACCATCCGGAACACCACACCAAGTAGGAACATGACAAAGAGATGCTAGACTAATGGAAGGCAGATGCATATGAAGGGAAGTTCATCCGGAACATCACACTAAGTATGAACAAGACAAAGAGATGCTAGAGCTAGATGGAAAGCACAGGCATATAGAGGGAAGATCAACCGGAACATCACACCAAGTATGAACAAGACAAAAAGATGTTAGAGCTAGATGGAAAACACATGCACATGAGGGGAAGATCATGCGGAACATTACATGCTATTACATAAGGGAAAACAAGAGTCTAAGTAGGCAAGATCACCAAAGTTGAATCAAAGGTCATCTATGAAAGAAGCGTTGTACTACCTACTTGTGTGAGTGTGAAAAACACAAGTTTGTAGAGCCCAACCCACCAAGATTTGCATCAAGAATCATCCATGGGTGCAGCGCTATACTACCTACTAGTGTGAGTGTGAAAATCACAAGTTTGAAGTTCCCAAATCACCAAGATTGCATCAAGAAGCATCCATGTGTGAAGCGCTACACTACCTACTAGTGTGAGTGTGAAAATCACAATTTTTGAGAGCCCAAATCACCAAGGTTGCATCAAGAAGCATCCATGGGTGCAGCGCTATACTACCTACTAGTGTGAGTGTGAAAATCGTAAGTTTGGAGAGTTCAAATCACCAAGATTGCATCAAGAATCATCTATGGGTGCAACGTTATACTACCTATTAGTGTGAGTGTGAAAATCAGAAGTTTGGAGAGCCCAAATCACCAAGATTGCATCAAGAAGCATCCATGTGTGAAGCGCTACACTACCTACTAGTGTGAGTGTGAAAATCACAAGTTTTGAGAACCTAAATCATCAAGATTGCATCAAGAAGCATCCATGTGTGAAGCGCTACACTACCTACTAGTGTGAGTGTGAAAATCACAAGTTTGTAGAGCCCAAATCACCAAGATTGCATCAAGAAGCATCCATGGGTGCAGYGCTATACTACCTACTAGTGTGAGTGTGAAAATCACAAGTTTGAAGCTCCCAAATCACCAAGATTGCATCAAGAAGCATCTAGGAAATAATCAGAGTACTACCTCCTRGTGCATAAGTGAAAGAGAAGAGTTTGAGTAG